TATATATATATATTTGCACAACTTATATCTAGTTAAGAACTCAACTTTTTTTTTCCAATTGCTTTCAGCATAAAATAAACCTGTTTAGAATTTTTGTAGATAAAAATCTTCTTTTATTATAATCTAGTGTACTTTTTTGTTAATTTTTTAATTATAATTAATCCAGTAAAAATAACTACACATGTATAATCTAGTGTAGTTATTTTCATTTGATTGCCTAATTTACGTATTAATCTTAGGTTTGCATTATCTTGTGTGACAACACTACAGAGCGAGTAGCTCTTCTAGTCGGGCAGCTGTGTGACAACACTCCAGAGAAAGCGGCGCTTTTGTGTAACATGCTATGGTCTCAACGCCCTTACGAGGTAGTGATTAGTTTCACGCGCTCTAAGCCCGGCCCGCGCGTGAATTTTATCCTAGTTTTTCAATCGAAGTTCTATGTTGTTTGTGTTCATCATCAACAAACTATTTTGAAATAAGTGGTAAGTTGCCCTTTGTTGGATGCACAGAGAAATTAAAAATCTCCTACATGTAAACCTTAAATCTTGTTGGAACAGCATGTTCTTTACGGTAGAAAGCCCGCTAGCCACTTAATGTTGGAAAAAAATTGCAGTAAAGGATAGCCCACCTCTATTATAGTATGTAATCATAAGCAAACCATAATTGCTCCATTGGAAAATTGGTAGATAGTGAATTAAGTGCTGGAAATATAGATCTACTATCAAAGCCACAAAGGTCTTGGCAATTGAAGAGCAAAGTCTAAAAAGACGAAATTAGCGGGCTAGTCATTTTGCCTTATTATAGCGAGACATAAGTCTCAGGACGGATCGAGACGTAAGTCTCGAATTAATAATTAAAACAAAAACTAATAAAATTAAAAAAAATTCTTAAATACATAATAAACCATGGACAAAAAGTAACATAAAGAAACCTAACTGGAGGAAAGTAAAAAAATTAATTAGATGTAAGAAAAGTAAGATCAATTAGAAAAGATAATGAAAAACTTTTAAAAATAAAATGATTATGGAGGTCTACATTAGAGTCTAAAGGCTTTCATTTGATTAGATCTAAAACTGAATACTTGACATGTAATTTTAGTAGTAAAGATTTAGTTATAGAGTTGTGACAATGGGTGATCAAATCATTTAGGATTGAACGTTTTAGATATTTTGGGTCTCTAGTTCAAAGTAATGTTGATATAAATGGGGATGTTATTAGTAGAATTTAAGTTGGATGATTGAAGTGGAAGAATGCATGAGACCTATTATATGATAGAAAAGTATCGCTTTCACTTAAAGGAAAATTTTATAAGATGGTGGTAAGTCTTGTGAGACTTGCAATGCTTTATGGTGCAGAATGATGGCCTATAAAAGTGAAGCATAAAACTAAGCTAAATGCTACTGAGATGAGAATGCTTAGGTGGATGAGTGGCTTGACTCTTAGAGACAATGCTAAACAAATATATTCGTGAAAGGATTGGTGTAGCTCCAGTGGCAGACAAAATTAGAGAGAGTCGTTTTAGATGGTTTTGTCACATTAAATGTCAATTTTGTCACATTAAATGTCAACATCACATTAAATGTCAACAATCTGATGATCCAATTAGGAGAGTAGATATTTTAGAGGTAGACCTAAAAAGACTTGTGCATGTTGCATAAAAGTGATTTTAATTTATTAGAAATAAATGAAAAAATGAAACTCAATAGGATACAATGGAGAAAAAAGATTTATATAGTCGACCACACTTAGTGGGATAAAGGCTTGTTATTGTTGTTGCTGTTTTCAAAAAATAGAATGAATCAAACTTTGCGATGAGGCTGCTTTTATATATATATATATATAAATATATAAACTCTCAATACTCAAATTCTCGATCTCCAAGCTAGTCTAAACTTTAAAGCTTAAATCTTGAACCCTCTTATATTACAACTTAAAAAGTGTTTATTATTTTTTAAGTGATTTTAAGGCATTCCCTTCGTGCTTATCCAGGCATATAGACTCGATGTGTACACCTCAATTGAAAAAGGCATAAGCCTCACTTAGGCTAGAAAATCAAAAGCCTCAACACACTTACAAGGCAGGTAGTGAGGAGGCACAGCTCGAGATGGGCAACTTGAATGCCTTTTCAAACAAGGGTGTAGAGTTTGTAACAAATCAAAATACCTTTCTTGCTTGCAGACCTTGAACTCTGTGTTCTGCCTTTAAAAGTGGCATCCATTTTTATGTTATGTATTTAAATACTGCAAGATCCCACCATTTTGAAGCTCATTGTTACTTCCGAAAAGACTTTCTTAATATAGATTTGGGTCTGCTGATTTCTGAAGCTGAAGTAGTCTTTCTGATCCCTTTGCTAGCTATTATTATAGTTTATGCTGCTGGATAGCTTGTTGTCAAAATGACACCTTTGACCCCCCCATTCTAAGCTCATTTCAATCAAGTTTTACACACTGATCCATTTATTTCCTTCATCTTTAGAGACCAATTTTCAAGATAAGTTTTACTGATTAACAGCAATTTAATCAATCAATCTTTTTTCAGCTTAATTTACTTTCACCACAAATTCAATGTATAATGTGTTTTTCGCTAGCCTTTGCTTGTATTCTGCACCGTTCAAAATTTACATACTTTTTTATCTAAGAGGAGGAATGTATATATTTATATTTATGTATGTACTTCTATATATGTGTATGTATGTGTCTATAACAGCACACAATAATCTTATTGATAATTTACTTATATTAAATTTGAAGCAGAAACTGTTAAATTCCATACCATTGGTATATCATGCTACAGGACCTGATTGCTCTCGATCAAGTCGTTCGTTTACTGTTTAATGAGATTTGAATCATAAGTCAATAGCTAAATTCTTAAATTTCTTAAAACATAGCGTTGTGATTTTTTATAATTATCCTTTTTTGGTATTTTTTATTTTTGGTAGTTTCTACCTTTAGTATTAACTATTGTTGGTAATTTTTATTTTCTTTTTCTAGCATGAGGATTTGATGGTTTTCCTAATGTGGTGGCCTTTCTCAGCTATTTATCTGGTAACTGAGTCTTAGGAAATTAAAAGGGAATAATAATTTTTCCCTCCAAAACTTAATGATTTCAGAGACTGTAAACGATTGAAATCCCAATCGGAAGTGCCCTAGATTTCTCGTCGAGGACCGAGCTCTTATCAAGTTCATCGACAAAGACCAAACCCACATTGATCAATAGAGTGTGAAACCTCTGATCGCGCAGCTTCCTTGTAAGCTTAATCTAGTTTTCCATCACAACGAAACTCACGATAGAAGTTGTTTGTTTGTCTCCTTTGAAGCCGTTATCTTCTTCCTCAAAGTTGTCGTAGCTACTACTCATGAAGCCGCTTTCTTCTTCTTCAAAGCGGTCATAACTGCTATTCATAGCTGTTTCTTCTTTGTAGCCGCTGCTCACAGTTGAAACTGCTGTTTTTTCCACACATGTCTGAACTCACAATCTGGAACTTCCTATGAGGAACATGCAGTCGTGAGGACAATTGAGAAGCGGTAGCCTGCCGAAGACATTGCTCGTGATCTGTCATTACAGCTACAAGGCACTTCAAAGGCGCAGTTGAAGCAAGGGCTCCTTGAGGTTCGGTCTTTCCATCACAACCGAACAAGCAATTGAACTCCAATCGTGATCGGACTCGCAATCAAAGCCCGTACTCGCAATCAAAGCCCAAGCTTGAAAGAGATTATGTTTTTTTTTTCATAGAAGGAGCCCTGATAGCAATTTTTGCGCTTGAGGTAGGCGTTGGCCGCAGTTTTCTCATTATGATTCTAACGATGTATTACAAGTTGGTGATGACTGGCACCCAACGAACTTCTACCATTTCTACTAATCTCAATAATTCTGAAACCACTTCACCTTACCTATAGCGGTGCGAGCATTACACAAAATCATGACATGCGATGAAGATATGTTGGAGGATTCATGATAAACTCATAAATTGAAAACCAAAATTTACACGAAAAATTTGAGCCAATCAAGCTACTTTTGATGAAACTCGAGAGTGTTCTACTAACTCGGATGCAATACCTTTCACCAGGGGGCAATCAAAGCACATGCACAAGCTGTTTCTTTCTCCAAAATCGTCATCGACTTCATATTATTTTTCAGTATAGAAGGGTAACTCTCTAGCCACTGCATTGTCAGGTGTTTACCTTAATTTTATTCATTCTTGAATAATCGATTCTGGCACAACTGATCATATGACTGGATGTTCTAATTTTTTCTCGTTTTATAGACCTTGTGTAGATAATAAAAGGGTCAAAGTTGTCAATGATTCCCTCTCGGTATTTGTATGGATAGGAACTGTTAATCTCAAATAGCTGTTACATTTCAGGATGTGCTCCATGTTCTTAATTTATCTTGTAATGTACTATTAATTAGCAAAATTACTTCTGATTAATAGTGTCAAGTTAATTTTTACTTGTTGCGAGTTTCAAGAATTAATTTTAGGGAGGATGATTGACAGTGCTAAGAAAAATAATGAACTCTGTTATTTTGACGATGAACTTGTTGTGAATAGACAATGTCAAAGTACTTGTTTAAATTTTTCATTTTATATTAAAAGGCAATGATATTATGTTATTACATTATAGGTTAGATCATCCTAGTTTTCAATATTGAAAATTCATGCTTCCCAGTTTATTTCAAAATATAAATTTATCATATTTCCAATGTGAAGTTTGTTTGTTTGCCAAACATCATTATACAATTTTTTCTCCCCAAATTTACAAACCCACTACACATTTTGCTCTGATTCGTAGTTATATTTGTGGTCCTTTTAAGCATCTTACGCACTCTGAAAAAAATGGTTTGTTATCTTTACTTATGATCGCTTAGGATCATATTGGGTGTATTTAATGAAAGAAAAATTTGAAGTGAAAATAATTTTCATAAACTATTACACCATGGTACAAACACAATTTTAAAAAAACTAATCAAATATTACGCAGTGATAATAACAGAGAATATTTCAAAAATATTTTGGGTTATTTTTTTTGAAAATAGTAATTCATCAAAGCTCTTATGCGATACCCAAAACACAATTTTGTGGCCAAAAGAAAAAAAATAAACACTTACTGGATGTAGCTCAATCATTGTTATTTACAAATCAGGGGTGAAGTCACTATTAATGCTACATTCATTATTAATAGAACTCACAATAAAGTTTTGAACTTTGAAACAATTTAATATTTTTCATAAAAGTTATTCAACAAATCAGCTTTCTTCTGATTTATCTTTAAAGATGTTTGGGTATACTGTATTTGTTTACATTCACAGTCATAATCAAGGAAAATTTGAACACAACCTTAAAATATGTTTTGTTGGTTATGTTCCTACCCAACAAATGTATAATTGTTTTGATCCCATTTATGAAAAAAGTTTGTTTCTATGAATGTCACATTTTTGAATAACAATCATTTTTTTGATCTCATCAAGGAGGGAGGGACCAAAAAAGATCCAACTACAGGCTTTTAGAACTTGTTTCACACCGAAGGCTCACAAAATATCTCCCTCAATTGTTCAACTTGAAAATCCAAGTTATATTATATGAGGAGAAAATAGGTCAAGTTTTTAAGATATTGAAGACTATTCAGATCTTCCTACAATACCATCTCATGATGTTCATAATCTTATAACAACTAACAAAGAGTAAACAAGAAAAAAATCACGATATTGGTATCATTTGACATTGTTTACTCATGAGAAAAGACAACTCAAAAGAAAGAGTCTACAATTTTTTTGTATTGCCCATAATCCATGAATCCTTTATGGGATTTAGAAAAAGTTCAGAGATAATAAGAAGAATCTACATTTGATTTTTATTGATTTAGAAAAAGCTTATGATAAGGTTCCAATAGATATCCTTTGGAGAGTTCTTGAGAAGAAAGGTGTTGATATGACTTATATTCAAGTCATTAAAGATATGTATATTAGAGCTGTTACTTGTGTTCAAACTGAAGGAGGATTGACCAAATATTTTCTTATTTCTGTTGGATTACATCAGGGATCGACTTTAAGCCCGTATCTTTTTGCTTTAGTTATGGATGGTCTTACTGGACATCTACAGGAGGATGTACCTTTGTGTATGTTTTTTGCTGATGATATCCTTCTTGTGGATAAAACGAGAAAAAAAACCCAGGAAAACTTGAATTATGGAGGTCTTCATTGGAGTTTAAAGGCCCTCATTTAAGTAGAACTAAAACTGAATACATGGAATGTAATTTCAGTAGCAGTAACTCTAGTGACAGAAGTGTGACTTTGGGTGATCAAATTATTAAAAGGTGTGAACGATTTAGATATCTTGGTTCTGTTGTTCAAAGCGATGTTGATATAGATGGGGATGTTAATAGTAGAGTTCAAGTTGGTTGGTTGAAGTGGAGGAATGCTTCGGGCCTTTTGTGTGATAGAAAAGTACCGCTAAGACTGAAAGGAAAATTTTATAAGACGGTGGTGAGACCTGCAATGCTCTATGGCGTTGAATGTTGACCTTTAAAAGAGGAGCATTATAATAAGTTAAGTGTTGCCGAGATGAGAATGATTAGGTGAATGAGTGGCTTTACACTTAGAGACAAAATGCGAAATGAATATATCCGTGATAGGGTTGGTGCAGCTCCTGTGACGGACAAAATTAGAGAAGGTCGTCTTAGATGGTTTGGTCACATTAAACGTCGACCATCTGATGATCGGATTAGGAGAGTACATGTTTTAGATTCGACTTGTGTTAAGAAAGGCAGAGGTAGACGTAGGAAGACCTGGGCTTATTGTATAAAAAATGATCTTAACTTACTAGAACTAAATGAAAATATGACACTAAATAGGACGCAATGGAGAAAAAAGATTCATGTAGCTGACCCCACGTAGTGGGATTAAGGCTTTGTTGTTGTTGTTGTTGTTGTTGTTGTTGTTGTTGGCCATAATCCATGAATCCTCCAGGTAATGTCCTCTTTGAGCCTTTATGTTAGTTTTGGTGGAAATTAGTGGTATTTGAGCCCGAAATATTGACGTGGACCAAAATAATTATTATGGCAATGGTTTGTCTTTTACCACACGCGTTTTACTCTACTTCATTCGAGCCAGGATTTTGTTGAATGAGTTTTCTCTAATCTGTCTCCTGTTTCACCCCACCAGTTACCTCCGCAACCTGCAAGGCTGTAAGACTTCAAGTATTAGGATTGGCTGTCTTTTGAACGAAACATCACTTTCAGAGGAATTCATTCTTCCAGAAATTTTCACCAGACAAGCCTCGAGTGCCATGGTCATTGGCTCCAATGCCAATCAAATTTGAAGGTATTAAAATTTAGAAATATTTTTAGCGTGAACATCTTGTATTGTTGATAAATGTTGTCCATTTATTTATTAAGAAAAGTCTAACGTAATATTTTAAGTTTGTTAAAAATAGATGCCTTTGATATTTAAGTGACATTTGTTGGAATAATCCATGTAATATTCTTGGCTTTTAGTTTCATTAATGTAGAATTTTTTAATTTTACTTGCTATGCATTCTAAAAATGCTGAAGTGGAAATCTTATTTAATCCTCTAACAATGTTGATATGTTACATATGTGAAGTTTTTGTTAAGACCTTTTTACAAACATATTAAATTTTATGCAAGCATTTGTCATTTAACTTGTGTATTGAATGATTACTGAAGTAAAAGTTTTATTTAAGGCTCTAATAATGTTGATTGGTCATAATTATGAATGTTTTGGTTTGGTTTCTCCATAAATATTTATACGTAATGTAGGATTTATTTTATTTTCTTGTTGTGTATGGATTGTTTCATGAAGTGTATGTCTTATTTAAGGTTCTAACAATATTGGTTTGTAATGTTGATGAAGTTTTAGGACGCCTTTTCTTCATTATATTTTTCAAGTAATGTAAAAATTTCTCATTTAACTTGTTGTGTATGGGCTGATTACTGAAGTAAAAGTCTTATTTAAGACTCTAAAAATATTAATATGTTATAAATATGAATTTTATGTTAGACTTCTTCACAGAAATCTTGAATTTTATGCAAAAGTTTTTTATTTATTTTGCTGTGTATGGACTGATTACTGAAGCAAAAGTCCTATTAAGGGCTCTAACAATATTGAGTTGTGATAATTATGAAAATTTAGGTTATGTTTCTTCATAAATATGTTGTAATTAAGGATTTATTTTATTTTCTTGCTGTGTATAGACAGTTTTCTGAAGTGAAAGCCTTATTTAAGGTTTTAACAATGCTGATGTGTGATATTTATGCTGTTTTAGGTTGCCTTTTTTCAAAATATTTTTGAATTAATGCAAGAATTTTTCATTTAACTTAGCTTATTAATGAAATAGTGGCGTTATTTAAGACCCTAACATTGCTAATATACTATATTTATGAAAATTTAAGTTAGGTTTCCTAAAAAATATGTGTAACTAGTTCATTTTTTTTTATTTTGCATGTGTATTGATAGTTTTCTTAAATAAAAGCCTTATTTAATTATCTAACAATGCTGATATGTTAATATATGAAGTTTTAGGTTAGACTTCTTCACAAAAATATTGAATTTTATACAAGAATTTATCATTTATCTTCCTATGTATGGACTGAGTCTTGAAGTAAAAGTTTTATTTAAGGCTTTAATAATGTTGATTGGTGATAATTATGAAAATTTAAGTTATGTTTCTCCAGAAATATGTAGTAATGTGAGCTTTATTCAATTTTTTATTGTGTATGGATTGTTTCTTGAAGTGAAAGCTTTATTTAAGGCTCTAACAAATTGATTAATGACGTTTTTTAAGTTTTATGTTGCCCTTCTTCACAAGTTTTTTGAATTAATGCAAAAATATTTATTGTGTTTGGGTTGATTACTGAAGTAAAAGTTTTATTTTAGATTCTAACAGTATTGATTTCTATTGTTTATGAAGATATACATTTCATTTCTTTACAAAAATTTTGAATTAATATAAAATTCTCATTTAACTTTCTATGCATGGACTGATTACTAAAGTAAATGCTTATTTAAGACTAACAATATTTGATTTGTGTTGCTTATGAAGATTGATCTTTTCTTTTTTCAGAAAAATTTTGAATAAATACAAAATCATTTCATTTAATTTGTTGTGTATGGACTGATAAATGAAGTAAAAGCTTTAACGCTCTAATAATACTGATTGCTGATGTTTATGGAGTTTTATGCTGTCTTAAAAAAAATTAAGAAAATATAATATTTTCTCATGTAACTTGTTGTGTATGGACTCATCACCGAAGGAAAAACTTTATTCAAGTAATCTAACAATGCTGATTTGTTATGTTTATAAAGTTTTATATTATTTTTCTTCAAAAAAAATGCACTATTAATGCAATAATTTATTATTTAATATGCTGTGTATGGACTCATCACTGAAGTAAAAACTTTATCTAAGTAATTTAACAATGTTGATTTGTGATGTTTATAAAGTTTTATGTTATTTTTATTCAAAAAATGTACAATTGATGTAATAATTTATCATTTAATATGTTGTGTATGGACAGATCACTGAAGTAAAAAGCCTTATTTAATTATCTAAAAATGTTGATTTGTGATGTTTATAAAGTTTTATGTTATATTTATTTAAAAAAAATGCAGAATTAATACAATAATTTATCCTTTAACATGTCGTGTATGGACTGATTACTTGAAATTTAAGCCTTATGGAAGGCTTTAATAATGCTGGCATCTCATAATTATGAGAATTTAGGCTATATTTCTTCAAAAATATGTTTGACCAATGCAACATTTGTGACAATTAACCTTGAATTTATTCTTTGAATCCTGAAGCCAAAACTTTCTACTATTTAACTGCAATAAATATTTTTTCTATTTTGCATACTCAGCAGGTAGCAATTGCGCTCATTTCTTTATTTTTTTTATATAATACATTTTGCATAAAGGTAAATGTTATGTGCATGATATGGTTAGTACAGGTTTTTGAGTCATTCACTAGGATGACTTCAGAGGAGGAAGAACCATATGGTGCACCACGCCCTCTTCTATCAACTACATAACATTCATTATTTTTCCTTCCACCGGCTACAAGGCCCCCCTCACTATCTCCCCTTCCATCAACAAAATACTATCGAGCATATTCTCTTCAATTGATTAAGGACACCACATTGTTTCCTTAGAACTCCCCATGATAGTCCTCTCAATCTAGTCCACTAACAACAAGTGAATCACACCAGAATCTTATATGTATCTATTGAGAGCAGGGTTAATGAAATTGAAATATGCTTGTCGGCAAGATAACTAACAAGATAACTGACTTTGACTTGAGATTGAATAAGATGGAGTTGAGGTTTAGTAGCTTTGGAATTTCAGCACAAGCTGAAGGTCTTAATAAGAGGAATATTTCCCTAACCTTTAAAGAAAAAGAAAAAGACGGAGCATCCAAGAATACTCAAGTTGCAGAAGGTGATGAAGTTGGTTTTGAATTCGCTCAAGCAGAGGAGGATGAACCAATCAATCAAACTTTGTTGACTATTGTTGTTCTTGATATTAACTTGAGAGATGATAAAAAAGTTAAGGCATATACACCTGGCTCCGGGAGATATATAAAGAGGAGAAAGAAAAATACAGATATAAGTTCCGTTGCTGCTGTAAATGAAGCTGGGTTTGAGCATGATGTTAATCATTCTAAATTTCAGGGAGATCGAGACAGAGTAAAATGTATGCTCTCAATTTTCTCCTATACCTTTAATGAGAATATGAATCTCTTTAGTCTAATTTGCTAAATATATTATGTGTTCAGCCTAAGCCGACAAATGGAGTTTTAATATCTGAAAAGAATGAAGAAAATTTTGTAGAATCAAATATTTTGGTAGATCAAAATATTAAAAAAACTGACATGAGGGTAGAGCAAGATGTATATTCTTTCTTTTTCATCACTTCATTTTATAAGCTTATTGATTTTTCTAATGTAGTATGAGAAGTTTGCTGTAACTTCTTAAAGCCAATTATTATAGAAACAATGTCTGAAAGAGCATGGCATGATAATAAAATAGGAGAATATTTATTTTAGTTGATGAATTAAGGGACGGGTTATTGAGATATGTTGAAAATACTTCATTATAATATTTATCTTTTAACAATTCATTTTTTCTTAACAAACTTGTATATAATTTTTTATAAAGCCTCATCAAGCATCACCAAAGATTGATTTTTCTGGAAGAGGTGTCATGCTAGGGCATTTAGTAGAATTGATCAACCTTTTTTCTGCACGATTTACTAATAAGTTAGTTTTAAGTAAAGTATTTATATTCAAATCAAATTGTAACTAACTACACATTCATGTATTCTCTTATGTTGCTGACATTGTAGAGTTGATACTGTGTTGACTTGTGGAAATATTATAATATGCAGTGGAAATATTGATAATATTCTGAACAATCAATATTCCATGATTACATAAATACTTTTGCTTATATGCTATCAGAAAAGAGAAATCTATGCCCAAATTTATATTAAAAATTATTGTACATTTCATGCTTACATTGGGCTGAGTGTAAAAGTATTATATTACTTAAATCAGTCATAATGAATTCAACAAATATTTATATCTACTTACCACTATTATGTTTCTCTTTCTCAAGGCTATGCACAAATTAGATACAAAAAAAGAAAGCTTGATCTATGTTAACCATGTGAAAAAACATTCAAAATGCTAGAATTATTCTAATTTTAGTAGTTGATAAACAACATTAGACTCCAACAGTAGACTCTATTGGTTGGAGATATGAGAAAGAAGAAATAAAATTTATATGATTCACTGTCGAATCCTGAACATTGGAAGATTTGCTTTGATATTGTAATGACATATGAATTAACCTTTAATAAGTAATTGGATCTTGTTTAGTTACTCTATCATGTGGTGTCTTAATTTCATATTTATTGCTTAAGTAGGTATAACTACTAGCCAAGATCGCGACTGGTGCTTTTAAGTGGTACTTTAAAAATAAAAAAAATTATTGTGTGAAAGGTCTTCCCACACAAACAAACAACCACGACTCTAAAATGTGTGCAAATATATGGAAGCAGTCGTAGGCACAAACCATGATAATTGAGCTGACTGTAAAAATTGGTAGGACATAATGAATATTTTCATTTTTAAGTTTGTGTGTACTTTATCTGCCTTGTTATGGAATGATCATTCTTGAACTTTTTAATTGTTAAGCATTTGTGAGTTTTGAACTTCATTTGTAATAGTCTTAATTATGTGTTATATTAATTTGATATCAAAAGTTGTTGATAATTCAATTTCATTTTTACTTATATAATTCAGAAATGAAACCTTTAATTAAGTAACTAATTGTGCCGATCTATGATATTTATGAATTTTTAAGTTATGTTTCTGCAGAAGAATGTTGAATTAATACAATCGTTTCTCATTTAATTTGTTATGTATAGATATGTATTTATTTTGTAAATTTAGGATAAGTTTCTACTAGAATGCTGAAGTGAAAGCTTTATTTAAGGCACTATCTATGTATTTATTTTGTAAATTTAGGATAAGTTTCTACTAGAATGCTGAAGTGAAAGCTTTATTTAAGGCACTATCTGAGCTGGTATGTTTTATTTGTGAAGCTCTGTGCCTTTCTTCAAAAAAATAAAAAATAAATAAAAAGGAGAAAATATAATAATTTCTCATTTATCCTGCTGTGATTTGATTGATAGCTGAAGTGAAAGCTTTCTTTAGGACATTGGCTGAGATGGTATGTTATATTTATGAAGTTTTAAGTTGACTTTGTTTAAAAAACTGTTGAGAAAATGAATTAAATTCTCATTTTACTTATTGTGTATTGATTTATTATTGAAATAAAAGTTATTTAAGGCTCTAAAAAAGTTGATTCGTGGCAATTATGTAAATTTATGTTAGGTTTCTTCATAAATATATTATATTAATGAAATATTTAATCTATTTTCATGTCGTGTATTGATTGAATGCTAAAGTAAAAACTATATTTAGGGCACCAACTAACAACAACAACAAGCTTTATCCCACTAAGTTGGCGACATGAATCTTTTTTCTCCATTATGTCCTATTAAGTGTCATATTTTCATTTAATTTTAATAGATTAAGATCATTTTTTATATAATAAGCCCAAATTTTTTTTTGGTTTACCTCTGCCTTTCTTAACGAAAGTTGAATCTTAAACATCTATTCTCCTAACAGGATCATCAGATGGTCAACGTTTAATGTGACCAAACCATCTAAGATGACTTTATATATTCTTGTCCACCATTGGAGCTACACCAACTCTATCACGGATATATTCATTTGGCATTTTGTCTGTAAGTGTTGAGCCACTCATCCACCTAAGCATTCTCTTCTCAGCAACACTTAACTTTGTTTTTAGATTCTCTTTTAAGAGCCAACATTCTGCGCCATTGAGCATTGCAGGTCTCACCACCATCTTATAAAATTTTCCGTTCACTTTCTATCACACAATAGACCCGATGCATTCCTCCACTTCAACCAACCAACTTGAATTCTACTAAAAACATCCCAATCTATCTCACCATCACTTTTATCAATAGACCCGACATATCTAAAACGATCACACTTTGTAATTATTTGATCACTCATAGCTACAACTTTGTCACTAGAGCTGCTACTACTAAAATTACATTCCATGTATTCAGTTTTAGACCTAATCAAACGAAGGTCTTTCGACTCCAATGTAGAACTCCATAATTCAAGTTTTCCCCATAATTCAAGTTTTCC